CCATATTATACAAGTATAAGACCAGCTATCTATTAGAAATGAAACCTACGATAATGTTTCCTACTTGTCTCCACCTTATTATAGTATTGCAATCAATACCCTAAGAAGGTTAGCAAGGCATCATAACTTTCCCAATGTCAAGAATAAAGATGTATACAATATGTTAATGATAAGGACAAAACCTGCAGTTGAAGAAAAGTATCCGCTATTTAATTGGCCTTTTATTTGGGAAAATATTACTTGTAAATATATGGATCCTCACCAGAGAGGCTTCATATATAGGTATATTCATGAAACTCTACCAACAAATCAGAGACTAAAAATGTTCAACATAAAACAAGATGATAGTTGTGTAAGATGTGGTGAGGTAGAATATCCATGACATGTATTTTACTTCTGTTTCCATAACAGAGAGATAATTGAATGGTTTAAAAATCTCCTGAATATAGTCTGCAATGTCAATAGCAAATTATTTCTGCATTTCTTAATGCTTAATATTAACTGCAGTGATAATAAGGATAAGAATACATTGATCAAGCTAATGTCAGATTATATTTACTGTATGTGGTTAAGTAGGAAAGAAAATTATAATGTTAAGGAGACTATAGCCTTTATTAAAGGCAGGATATATTATAATAAATGGATGATCAAGTGTATTTTAAAAGAAAAGTCATCCAAATATTTCACTTAAAAATATGTTAATATGTAATATTTATGTATACAGTACAGTGCAGTGCAGAGCAAGTAAACACAAACCGTGAATTTACATATTAAATGTCAGGTATGACATGGCCGTCATACTTTTAGCGCTTAGGCGAATTGTCTAAAACCATAACTGCTGAACTATGCCTGATTTTAGCAGGAATGAACCAATGAGTTCTGCCAAACTGGAGTATAATGTTACGTTGTTCAGCAGTAAAGACACCAACGTAGGTCAGCACAACATCAATGCTTGTCAACGTCGTCAACACAAGCACTCAACGCGACAACATTGATAATGCTAGTCAACGTGACTATACCAATGCACAAAACGATTCAATTTTTGCCTCCTCATCTCATCATATACCGTACGTTATGCATACACTGCATTTTCCCTCTACTTCAAAGCCCTGCCCACTTTAAACAACCGATACGGAGATGTAGGTCAGATTTGCTTTAAACAACACAAAATACACCAGCAAACCAATTTTTGATAATAGTTTCCGTGGTGTAACTAAAACAAATATTTGCCAAAAAGATCAACACTGTCTAACCTATCAAAGGTATTTAAAATACCATTTCCTTTTTAGTGTTCTTTATGTTGAATCATTAATAAAACTTTGTGTCATTGTCGGTACTTATCGTTTCTCCAAAGAAGTATACATATACTGTATACTTTTTTTTATTAACGCCTAAAACTACTATTTCTATTAACAAATGACATACCTGAAACACCATAGTCGTAGTGCATCTTGGTGTAACACCAGGTAACAGTGCAGGTTCCGTCGTCGAATGTTTGGCAATGGTGAGAGGCGATCGCTTGGTTGGTGCCTTGGTGGGTCTCTGATTCAGAGGATTGAAGATGTATTTTCTTTACATATTCACTGATCACTGGAGGCTATTCAGTTGACCACGGTTAAATAACTGGCTCGCGATTTAAATAAGTGTTCTGGCCATCCCGAAAAATACTAGCTATAAACGCTGACCCATTTAGATTCATCTGTTATGGTCACATACCTGATCACTCTTTTCCAAAGTTTTCTTCTCTTGTCATTGACTGGTAGAGTGGTAGTTAATATTAACTTAAAGAAGTCATTTGCCTTGTCATTGAAACACAAATCGGCACACAACAGTTACGTTACACAGCCCTTGTATGGCAAGTGATAAAAACAAATATGGCTGACCCAGGGTATATTATTGTCCCAGACTGGAGGTTGGTAAACAAATGGCGACTTAGTTATGTTTAGACCCAAGACTACTTTAGGCCTCATTGGAGGATAAAGAATAATAACAATAATATTTATTCAATAAATCGTTACTCAAGGTTACAACTCGTTCGCCATGCATAGGAATAATGCAAGATTACAATTCAGCATGTACTGTACCTAGGCAACACTATATTTATGTTGTTTAAGTCTAGTTGCAAGGAATGTAATATGTTTTACTTAGGCCAGAGAGGTAAAGATCTTGTAACTAGACTTAAACAACATAAATATGTGTTAGGACAGGCCAGGAATCCAATGTTCTGTTTGTTCATTTGAGGGATAACAAGCATTGCATTGACTGGGATAATGCCTCCTCAATATTACCTTGTAATTCAATTGATAGTAGGAACATCATAGAATCTAGTCTCATTAAACATACCGAAGCATTCAACATGAATTTGAGTAATGGCATGTACAAACCGGACAATTTTGTAATTAAGAATATTTGTAACCAGGTGAGAAGGTTGGGTCACCTTACCCTCTGACCTGACTACCGACCGTTGCGGTGCTATTTAAAGATTAGTAGGGTCATTACCTAATACCTGACCATTGTGGACCTGGTCTCACCCTCCTCTGTATATATACACCTTGTTTTGTACTTCTCTTTAGTCTGTACTCACCCCTGAAGATGTGAATTACACGAAAGCGCTTGGGAACTTCGTGTTTTCTTCTTTCCTTGTGGTTATCAGCATATACAAAGAAATTAGCCAAACAGCCAAGGTAAAAAAAACAATATAACAAAAAACTAAATTAGGATGCATCTAGAACTCATATAAAACCACTTCATCTGAAAAAATATACTGTTATATGTACATTCAAATAATTTAATATATTTAAAATATGAATACAACAAAGAAAATCTTGATGTAGATGCAAGTTGGCGCAACTGATCATGTAACCTTAATATAAGGACAAGTAACCATAGTTTTCCACAACTCATTAATATGCAATAAGAATTACTGAACCTAATTAAAAAATGCACAGAAAATTAAGTCCACTTTAGTTTTTATATTACACCTTACTTTCTAAATTTTTGTCAGGGTCTGCATTAAAGCGTAGTCTTGACTGTACAGATGCCAAATAATTTATTTAGAGAAATGGTGACTGCATACATAGTGGTTTCTATTTAGCTCTTCAAATGTTTTCCCCTTCAAAGGTATGCCTTTTTCTTCTAGTATCCTTTGCCATCTACTATATCTGAAGAAATTTATCAAGAATTACTTACAGTTACTAAAATTACAACAAAAACCATTGCATGTGAATGCTTGAGCTTTCCCGCCTTCTCATAGTCTTTGCCACTGGTCGACTCGTTAGTAGCTTGAGCGATCGGTCACATCTCTGTTACGCACTGTTGGTAAGTATTGGGCATGCACATGATGCACTGGCTCTTAAATGTATCTGAACCTGCTCCAGTGCTTGTCAAGTCTGGTCTTGAAAGAGCTCACAATCGGTGCCACCACAACACTCTGGCAGATTGTTCCACGAGTTCACAACTCTCACTCCCAGGTAAGGACTCTTGACTGAGTAGTGCCCTTTGAGATGTTTATACACCTAAATTAGGTCCCCACTTGCCTGTCTGTAGTATAGCTATGCAATTGCAGGCGCTCTATTCTCTCAGGGTAGCTGAGGTGCCGTAGTGCTGGCACCAGTCAGGTGGCCCTCCTTTGGACATTTTCAATCAACTAACAGTCCCTAGCATATCTCCAGGCGGGGAAGCACCTAATAATTTAGTTGCCCGATTCACCTTCTCACAATGGCCCAAGAACTTCAATTCATTGTCAACTTACACACCTAGGTTCTTTTCACATTCAGTCTCAATTAATGCAGTTTCTTCGTCCCGTTGGGACGTCCCAGGTACAACGAAAGACAAAAGTCGTGTCTTGAAATTGTTTTAAAACATATGCCAAAGGGCTAAAATTTGTGTGCGCTCTGCTTTGTGGTAGGGCTCTCATAATGTTTCGCGAGTTATATTAATTCTTCGGACAAAACCGCGACACGACTTTTGTCTGTGATTGTACATCCTCTTACACTTCGTGACATCGAATCTTAGCAGCCATTTCTTCGACCATTCTTGAAGCTCACAGAGATCCTTCTGCAGCTCTTCACAGTCTGCTTGGTTCTTAATTTCCCAAAATAACTTAGCATCATCCGTCCCTCTTAGCGATCTTCAAGATTGAAGTGCTTCCCCGTCTGGAGTACTGTCACCCCGTCTGGTCCCCGAAATGTGCTAGAGAATGTCAGTTGATTGAAAATGTTCAAAGGAGGGCCACCAGACTGGTGCCTGCACTGCGGCACCTCAGCTACCCTGAGAGATTAGAGCGCCTGAAATTGCCTAGCTTATACTACAGACGGGCAAGGGGAGATCTAATTGAGGTGTACAAGCATCTCAAAGGATATTACTCAGTCGAGTGATAGAAGTGTGTTATCTAGTGTCACTGTGACCCTACCAAACATCACAAGTTTCCTCCAGGTACTCAAGAGTCCGGCTTCTTCCTGTACTAACAGTTCCCAACGAAGCACAGATCAATCGCTCGAACGGTTATAAATCTTATAAGTCGTGAAATGATAAATTAATTTAATACATTTTATCGTCAATGATATAACTCACTCTTCTGCTGTGGCTTCATGCATTATGTGTTTTTTTATTAGTTTTGATAACATAACTGGTCAGATAAATTGTTCCATTGCATTTTAGCTGCAAAGAACAGTGTTATTTGCCTGACCACAAACAGTGACAGACCATTATGCATTCATTCTATATATTTTTTTTTGGATATATGCATGGTGATTACACTTACATCAATAAATAACAAAATAAAGAATGGTAATAAATATAAATTATATTTTATCCAAGAAATATCTCAAAACAATAAGCTTTTAACCACCTTGGGCTACCATTGCTTAAATCAACTACGTACAATTATGTGTATACCCCACACTGTGAATATACATATGAACCAATGTGATCCTTTATGAGTAATTTAGGGAATAAATTTACAGTATGTCTATATAAAGTACAGTACATGTAGTAAAGATTTTAGGCTAGCGGCCCTCAGCTGATCCTGGCTGATCAGAACAAAGTTGAAGTGTGTGTGTGACTTACTCCAGTTATTATACAAGATGACCGAGGAAATTGAGGAACATAGTGTTAAGATCAACATTAAAGGGACAATACAGGCACCTAAGAAGAATGAAGTTATGTTCAATTCCGACATGACAGTAAACAGGTAAGGTAGTGGGGTGCCATACTTGTTACTGCGTACCCCACCCATTCTCCCTCAAACCTCACACACCAGGGATGCCCAATATTTTGTAGGCTAAGAACCACATTTATAAGTGGAGGGCTCTATTGATTGTTTTATTACCTAAAATTCAGTTTCATTCACACTTTTTTAGTACTGCACAAGCCAGTTATTAGGGGCTGTTACACTAATTACATTTTATATTAGGTAAAATTGAAGAAAGTGTGCTTAGGTTATAGAGCCACCAGTTAATATATAGGAAGAACTGGTGGACGAGTTATTTTTATTACTGTTTATTACATTATTTTGATCAGTGAGTTTTCATATGATAATCATTTATTGTGGAAATTGTTTGTTTCATAGATAATTAGGCGCCTAGGCATGCTTTAATTTGTCTTGCGGGCGGTAATGAGGCTGAACTTAGCTGCGGAGCATTTACCGCGCCCGGGGTAATTTGTTTTTCAGCATGACATGTGAAGGTTGTTGCCGGTCTTACATGTACGTAATTTTTTAATTTAAGGATAAAGACAACGAGACCCTTCAATTGTTCAAAGACTACAGCATTGTTCCTTTAAATAGAGACTGGCCACACTGCAGGAATTCCTGTGCTTTCAGACAGGAAAGAAATTTGTTCATTACTTCCTCAATGCCGTGGCTCGTCATTTCCAGCCATCACAATATATCACTCCGCTGCCCGGGCTGCATTGCACCAATTCGGTCGTATCATCTCATGTCCACAAAATGCCTATCATAGGTAAGTTCGTTCTGGGAAGTTAGGTAAGGTTAGGTAGGTTTGGTTGGTTAGGTTGGTTAGGTCTGTTCTTCTTACCCACAAATGTTAAGTAATGTGTATTTTAAAAATAACCATTTTTTAATGTAATTCCACAAACTACACCAGTGTCCACTATAATATAACAGTGAAAGTCCGGCATTTTTATAATTGTTTTCAATCAATTTCGCTCACGTGTTAGTCCTATATAATTACCCAGTCACCTAAGGTATTATTATTGGTTTGGTCATCCGGGGAATCTTAGGAGTCTAGGTGAGGTCAGATATAGTTCCTGGTACTATGGCAAGGTTGGTTAGGTTAAGTTAAGTTAGTTTGGTTTTGTTAGGTTAGATCAAAATCATTCCAAACTCGTAAAAAAACATCAGAAAAACAAGGTTGACTGAAACTATAATTTAACCGCCACCTATGGGAAAATTACCTCAAGAAATTGAAGTTTATGGTAATTACTCGTTTTAGCACACCCTCGAATTTCTTAGCGAGATGTTTGATTTCTGATGTATTTTGTTCAGATTTGACCTTCACTTCCATGGGAAAGGCGTCTTTTTTTTTCAAAGATGCAAGTCATCCTTGATCGAAAACGGTTATTTTCCATGAAAAACGTAGGTGAGATCTGTACAAAATATCCAAATATGTACATCAGAAACCAAAAGCCAAGTTTTTTCTTTACAGGTGCAGATTAAATGACCTCGACATGTGCACCCTTTGTGGCTCTAAGCACATCCAGCCGATACTCGATTTCTCTCCAAGTGTTGATTAACATACCTGGTGTTACCATGCTTATTGCATTGGTTATTCGTTGACATAGGATTGCATCATCGGCTACAGGTGTTTTGTAGACACAATCCTTTACATAGCCCCACAAGAAAAAATCTAGCAGTGTGATATCTGGAGAGCGCGAAGGCCATCGGATGAATCCATCGCGACCAATGCTTAAACAAAAACTCACCTAACAAAATCTAAAATAACTAAATTTAATTTAAAATTGTTCAGAAAGGAAAACTAACCCAACCTACCTTAATGTTAAGTATCTAACCTTGTGTTAAAAGCATTTCTCTTACCTGTAGACACAGAAATTATTGCTTTGGCTCCATTGGCCTGTCGGAAAAGATGGGGAATATGAGTATTGAATTTGCACCTAATTGACTAAAATGATTCGGTTTCAGAACCTCCATTATGTTCATTTGCCAGATGATTTGTAACATCCAAGATGGCACATTGAGCCCAGGGTTTTAAGTATCAGTGTTTGTTAGTACAGTGACCCCTCGTTTAACGAACGCCTCGGTTAACGAAATTTCGGTTAACAAACTGCCTTCCATAAGGATCTTCAATTCGGTTAACGAACAAAAATTCGGTTAACAAATTTCTAACGAACTGACCTCAACATGTTTTCGCTTGCACTGGCCGGGCAACCAGCTTTAGTATCAGTCCGCCAATACATTAATCGGTTCTAGGGCTTAAATTCCTTACTATTTTAGTAAATATCAAGAAGTTTATACTATTCAATAATTTTAAAAGTTTAATATTCAATTTTTTAGTCATTTTAACAATTATTGAACAAAATTGAAGGTAAAGTGACTAGTTCAATGAGCGGCATCCAGCCTCTTAACACAGCAAACAGGCGTTAGTCTCTCTCTGTTTTCACTGGAGGTAACATCTTGCTTGAGACTCTCTTCAACTAAATGCTTTTTTCTGTTTCCAAGCAAATTATTGGTGATTTTGAAATATATTTTACATATTGACAATATATAATGCAGTGCAGTGTTGATTTAAAGAAAATAATCTTGAAATACACCAAGAGAACTAAAATTTTATGGGTGAAATGGTGCCATGGGGTGACTTCTCTTCCACCCCAATGCCTTCTCTTCTTCCTTCTCCTCAACCCCCATTCTAATTCCCATCATCATCATCATCCAGGAGCCTTCTACATACACACCTCAAAGTAAGTGAACTTTTCTACCATTTTTGTTGAATTTAGAAAATTTTCAGTGAGCTGGAACCAATTACCCAAAAACCCATTGAAACAATGGTTTCGGTTTACAAACTTTTCGGTTAACGAACGACCTTCTGGAACGGATTGAGTTCATTAACCGAGGGTTCACTGAACAGCATTAGTCAGTATCCATTTGCACAAACCTTCATGCTTATGTTCATGTGTGGCTTAAATAATTTACTGTACTGTACTGTATTAACCCTTAGGGTGCCGCTGGGCATACCCCTTGCCCGGGGGTAAATCGAGAAAAATCAACTTTTCATAAATAATTTTTTACATTTTTAAATAATAAAACAATAAAAAAAGAAGTAAGAAAAACTATATATTGGCCCTCTAGAAACTTCCCTGACGCGGAGGGAGGGAGATGAGGGAACAGCTTGCTGACGGCGAGCGCTCGTGGTCAACTACCCCTACGCACTTAGCAGCTGTTTTTAGCTTGCCTTTGTGTCCGGGATGGCCAGTAATGCATATATTTACTGATCATAATACTTATTTTCTATAAATAATTCATTTAGAATTTATTTTATTTGCATTATTTTTCATAAAAACTGCTCGGCAACTCCCACGCACTCTATCACCAGGCTGTCTTTGTGTTTGGTAGAGCAGGTAATGTGTAGAAATAATTATTGTTTTAATAATTCCACAAATAAATACATTTATAACATAATCATAGCATTAATTCCCAGTAATACTACACTACACCACTTTCAGCAATATTACTTTGATATAACATGATAAAATGGACAAACAATGAAATGAAACACAAAAGTTTAGGAAGCTTCCCTGTGGTCGAGCGTGTGGCGTGACAGGCATATACAGCTGCTCCCTGACTTACGACGGGGTTAGGGACCCAAATCCAGGTTGTAAGTCAAAAATGCTTAAATAATACATAGAAAATCTAAAATGGGTGTCTCTTTTTCTTCTTAGCACCACAAAACTCTCACTTTTAAGCTTGCTAGCCATTTTAAAGTGAATTACAAACAAAAATTTTCTCTACTGACGTTGGTACTCGAAAGTACGTAATTTGACAAAATTTTGGTACGACTGAGGTAGGTCGTAAGTGCGGGTGGTTGTAAGTCGAGTAGGTCGTAAGTCGGGGAGGAGCTGTAGTCACACTGAAACCCGGTAACCCGGGCTGGGCATTTAAACAGTGGCAGGAAAAGGTGCTTGTACTGGAATGTCACCCGGGGCATAAGGGTTAAGCATGATGCAGTATATCCAATACAGTACAGTATCTCCAATTCAGAGTACAGGTAGTAATTTTATGTCATTAAGGGTGTTAGGTCAAGAACCAAAACAAACAAAAAACACAGAAAAATCTCAATTTGAGATATTGAATTTATACATACAGTACAGATTGTGTCTGACTCAGAAGGTAATAAACAGTTTTTCTCTATTGGATAAGTTAATAACAAGAAATACTGTACGAGTACCAAAGGATAAAAGGATTTTACTAAAAATTCTTTTGTTTTTTCTGTATAAAGAATAAAGTCCATACTGCAGATTTATCTTTTTTTCTATTGACTGTACAGTATATAAATTTGTCTGTAGGGAAATGTTTTACCTTCACTATGTACGGTTGGGAAAAATAATTCTGCCCCACATTTCTGTGGCCAGTAGAGACATCCGACAACTCTCGCGTAATAGTAAGTAGAGCACGTAGCAAACCAATGTGAACGAACAAGCTTTGAACCACTTAACCAGCTGGTTTCATTCAAATGCTGTTCCCACTGTGGTTCAAAGCTGGTTCATTCATAAAGGTTTGCTACACAGTCTGTTTACTATCTGTACTACAAGAGAGTTGCAGGATGTCTCCAGTGACCACAGCAATGTGGGGCTGAATATTTTCCCCAACTGTACAGTCAAAAACACCATCGCTCCTATGCTGACAAAACCACTGCATTGGCATTTTTCAAGATCCTCACTCTCCCTGTTTCAAATGCTTTTGTATTGTCATTCCTTACTTAGTGTCACTGTCTGCATAATACTTCAGCAATTTTTCCTTTTGGATTTTAATGTCATGCACACACTAGTTCACACAGTTTCATAACTGATGTACTGTATCTTGGTCCAGTTTTTGAAGAAATTCCACTTTTTGTGATATAGCCATTGACTTTCTTTTCTTCTTCCCCTTGTGACTAACTGGCAAGCTTGCAGGCCACTTAGGAGCCACGGTTCATACGATATTCAGCTTCCAAACACGCAGAAGCAGTGGTAATCTGCTGAGATAAACATAAAAATGACTGCAGCCCCAGTGAAAGTGAAGATGTGCACGGGAGAAGCTCATGGTTTCATCCGCCAATTTAATTTTAAATTTTTTGCCGTATGCCAGTAAATCCCTAAAATGCCATTAAATATTTTTTTTAATTTCCCATCAAATGCGAGTTTCCGTTAAATGGTATGCTGTTAAATCAAAGCACAACCATTGTTGCAGCCTTTAAGCTCCACCCACTCTCCTAACCCTGCCGAGATGATGTGGTAAGGAAACTTCGTCCATTTTCATGATTGATGTTATGGTTAGAAGTGCGAATGAGTGTTAATGGTTTGGTATCCTGTCGTCTCCCTGTCTGTTTTCTATTGTTGTCCAGCTGGTCCCTGTATGTCACTGCATTGTTATCCACAATCATCCCTGTCCATATCTGCAGTACTTCTAATATTTTGCCCAAGGATTTCTTCATGCTTATTTCATTTCATTTTTAAGTTTTGATATAAAAGACATGGCAGAGAGAGGACTGGGGCATCACCAGAATAGCTGTGCTAATCAGTCAGAAGTGATCCAGCAGAGGTCGATATTTATTGGTCTCGACCTTGGTAGCCAATCAATTTCTGAGACCAGCAGAGATTTGAACATCAACAGGAAGACAGTGCAGTGGTGGGTTATGTGATACAAGGAAGCGGACAGTGACATGACACGCCCCAAACCTGGCCGCCCTCACGTGACAAGAGAGGAGGATGTGCAAATTTGTGCCGCTGCCAGCCAGATTCCTCTCACTACATCAATTACATTAGTACGGTATAGAGGGCTCATTGATGTTGATGTGAGTGTCATATATTTGGAGAATAATTGTTTTGTTATCGATTTTGCAAACTCGATGTAAAAAATGCAGTATACTGTATGTTTAATGTGTTTGATATATTCATGTGCTAATCTATTCATAATTTTGTTTATTTACACCTGTAAATTAAGAGTTCCTTCCCTCAATAGCAAACTTCATCTGCAGTGCCATCCCATAACTGTAAGACGATGTCTACACGAAGCAGGGAGGAAGTGCTACGTGCCTACCATAAAGGAATTATTAACTTAAGAGCATAAGGCCCCCAGACTGGCCTTCAGTTGGCATTATGCTGACCAAAATGTTGACTAATGGAGGCGAGTGATTTTCACTGATTAGAAATGTTTCTCAAGGTATCAGACAATAAACCTTACTCATGTATGGTGTTTAGTGCAAGTTTTCCTTCACATAGTGTGGAAGTAGAACCAGGATATATTCAGCTCTATACAACAGGTCCTAGAGTCGAGTTTCCTGTACTTGATAGCAATGTGACTGATCAGTATTTTGGGGAAACAGCTTTTATTCCACAATGAATTAAGATGGACTGACCATCTTGTATACCATTCTCAACCGTATCGAGCGACGATCGGCTTCACACCAATTGGAACTGACCAGCAGATGATAGGTTTTATTTATTTATTTTTTAAATATTAAAAATATATTTTTGAGATTTCTTATCCATCAATAACTATTCCATTAATCCTCTAAATTTAATGGATTCAGTGCATAGTACCTTGATACTTTTATTCAGAGTTGTAAAAAGTACCAGACTTGTTACTTTAGTAAAAGTATTGTTACATTAGCAAAATGTAACTAAAGTAGAAGTAAAAGTATCCAAAGATCAATGCACTCAAGTAGAAGTAAAAAAGTATCTCATCCATAAAGTGCTGAAAGTACAAAGTACAGTGTACTCTCGATTTAACGGAAACCGATATTACGAACTCGATTTAGCAGAAGAAATTTTTCTTTTATTTTTACAATACTCCTACATAAATTTGTATTGGGTATATATGCTACATTACAGAGCTGTTATGGTTATGTATCAACAGTAAAATTCATAATGAAGACTTCGCTCGCAACCTTCTATGCAAATTTTATTCAAATGTTTATTTTATTCGACATGCACACTACACTAAATAGTTATGCATTCCATCATGTTACTGCACAATGATCTGTATGCAGAGGTACTAGGAAATATAGGTGAATTAAGTTAATTGTAACCTTGTAGTTATTGTAATGTTGACACTGAGTTAGGAGCTAACTTTTCAAGGTGTATAGTTATGTAACTTGCATTTTATGGGGTGGGAAGGGGGAAGGAGGGCTTGAAACATGTTTTCAAATTCCCAGCTCTTCTCTGACCTGATTTCGCCACTTACCCTGCCCCTCGATTAGTGTTTTTGACTGTATGTATGTTGGCAATTAGGGGTCTGGTGGAAGGGGTTTCACCATATCCTCTTGCTTTCCATTGAAAGAAAAATTTTCAAATGCTGATTTCACCTAGGTTTTCTTCAGGAATGCATCTGTCAGCATTTATAAGGGACATGTACCGGTATATAAGTACAGTAGGGTTGGGATATGTCGCGAGATAGGGTCCAACGATGTCCGCTATAAACTAAATCGCGATATATAATTACATGTAATGAATGGGGAAAATAGGGTTAGGATCTGGAGGCTAATAAAAGTGACTAAACTTGACTTAACCAGTTTATTTTCTTACTAACTAAAGCACCAATGAACACTATACCTGGGAACACCAGACTCATCAGCTGATGTGCCATCCCACGCGCCATCCCGGGAACACCAGACTAGGCAGCAGATGACACACTGACACACCTTATCATCAATGTTGGAGGTTTTCCTCTTCTTTTTCTCACTTGAACTAGGAGGAGTGGTACTAGTACGCTTAGTTATCTTGGTAGACAGTAGTAGAGCACATGGTGACCTTGACTGGAGGGCTAGAGCGCAGCGTCCACATTTGGTAAGAGCCGAATCAGAAAGACTGAGTGGGCGAGCGTGAATGCGTGGGTGAGCAGCCACGGTGGCGCCTTTGGTGAATAACGTATTTGTTGGCCATGGTGGTACATTTGAAATATTTCCTGCCCGATTTCCCTCGCGAAATAAATAAATTTATCGCTATATATTGGGAAAATTTAGATAATTTGGTAGGCGCGATATAAAAAAATCTCCATATAAAATAGCTATACAGTATATCCCGACCCTACTGTACTGTAATGCTATTTAAATGAATAGCAGTACAATAACTTTATTAACTGTTTGTTGACAGATCACTTGTCCTGTGCGCATTAGCAGCATACAGTGACTCGGGCAAGTGCATCAATGGCCCCATACGATGTCTAGATGCTCTAGGTGCTACAGGTGTCGCAGGATTGGCCTGGGCTCGACAGATACCCAAGGTATGTGATGTTATTAATGTTTTGTCAAATGTTAGAAACCTTTTCCATTGTACTATATAGTCATGGAATGTGGGAACCAAGTAATTATATAAATTCCTTTCATACTATTCATTACAAACTGGCCATATTACAGGTGCACCTACTGACAGAAATTTCCTATTTGTCTGCAATTTATAAAATTTCAAGTCAAATCTGTCTAATTTTTTCCACTAATTTATAGTAGTGCCAAGGTTTATTTATCATATCTTGACACATTCACAAATGTTAATACTAACTTTAAAGTTTATTTAAAAAAAACATATATGCAACATGTGTAGATTAAAAGTTTAGTTAGGTAACCTACAATATAGAAATAATACAAACGACTACAAAATTGCATTTATTAGTAGCAAGAAAGTGTTTTATATGAGACAGACTTTTTTTTGGAGATCACAGCTGCGGTAAATTGTTTTGCGTGCTTTAGCGTCTGGTGTTGGAAATGCTTATTATATGAGGCTCCTCCATACATTAAGCATAGTGCTCTTTTAAACACTTTTCTGTTTGTGGTTATGCCTGCTGTAGGGCCATTCAGCTTTATGAATGTTAACATTTCTATGGTGTCAGCAACTGTGGTGTCTTGTTCTTTAAATCTTGATTTATTTTTGATGAGCCTATCAATTACTGACCCCCAGGACTCGACAATAGCATCAGATATTGGAAAGGAAATGACTGAAGACTTAAAAATTGCAGCAAGTTTACATTCACCTCTGTTACAGTGGTAAGCCTTTTTTAAAAACACTACCGAGTCAAACGCTTCTCCTTTGTTCCGTATCATAGAAATTGAATCTGTCATGTAATCATCTATCACTTTAAGCTCAAAATGTGAGTTTTAAGAGAGTCTGCTTTCTTATTTACAAATGAAATACTAGAAAAAAATTTTAATCTTCAAAAGATGAATGAGGATCATAAATATTTCTGCTGCTACTGGAATGCATTAATGTCGGTACAGTAATCCAATAAACATTCAAATTTATGACAGTTGGATTTAATGTTTGCTGTAAGTGCTGAAATGTATAATTTTGCATTGTTTAAACATATTTGAAACTTGAGCTGGAGTCCACCAAGATTTCTTGATCTTTGATATCTTAATAATACTGGAACATCAGGCACTGGTAGTCCTTGAATGTGTGATGATCCACAACTTATGTTATTTTAATTAGGTTAGCAAATAAATCACGAGGCAGTATGTGAAAACTAACGCATTGAATTTCATCATTACTGAGTACTGTATGTATGTAATTTTTTTCAAATCATCAATACAGTGAACCCTCAAAGATTCGGACCCTGTAAATCCGGATTTCGGAAGACTCAGACAAGAAATTTGGGGGTTCTTGACTAAGAAGCATTCCCAAAACAGGGTGAAGGAAGTTTTAGGCTTAAAGTTTTTATCTTATAAAATGTCACAGACTAAACTTAGCAGAATATAACTTGCATTGCTGGAATCCTTGCAAGATAACAATTAATTTGAGTACAGTAATCCCGTGTTTTTTTGCGGGAAATGCGTTCCTGAAACCCCAGCGAAAAGCCAAAACCGCGAATACTGTACTCTTTTTAGGAATCACTGTACCTGTGGCCACCAAACAGCTCAGGTAGGACATGCTCTTAACCACGCCATGCTCTCCACTCACGGCCCAGTGGTCACACTCATCACTGATGCACTGTACCGGCATTTATTAACATCATTATTTGTAACTAATCATATTGTAGTATAATGATGGAAAAACATAAACACAGTTATATACAAAAAATTTTTATTTACAAGTAAATAAAATTTTTTTTATTTCGCTGAGGTCGGCAACACCCGCATTGCTAGCCTCTCCCTGCTGTCCCGGCGTCTGCCCGCCCTCACGCAGTTACGCCAGCCAGCCATTCCTCTTCCACCCACATTCCTCCACTTGAAGACTTGTATTCTGACAAAAGACAAATGAATTGTCAGTCTTCACCACATCTCAAGCCATAACTCATACCACCTCTGAGCTTGCCCAATAAAACTGTTTTTCCCATTAAGATCATCACTATTCTTGATCTCTTGGTCACTTTAGAGTCTTTGCTAGTAATGTTTGCCTTTGATGAGTCTGGCCTACGTCCCGGATCCATGTGGAATGCACATGGGAGGACAAACAGAAGAGGTAATCACAGTACCGTAGGCACGTGTGGACTGAGGCTTCTCGGAGCAGCGGGTGTTTTAGGCGGGAAAGGGTGGCGTCTGTTTGCCGCACCACACGGGAATATAAAAAATGGTTACAAATCTTCTTGATTACGAAATTACCGGTATCCAGTTTGTACAAACCAGAACTCAAATTCATGTTGACGGATTCGGTATGTTTAATGAGACTGGATTCTATAATGTTCCTACTGTCAATTGAATTACAAGGTAATATTGAGGAGGCATTATCCCAGTCAATGCAATGCTTGTTATCCCTCAAATGAACAAACAGAGCATTGGATTCCTGGCCTGTCCTATATATATATATATATATATATATATATATATATATATATATATATATATATATATATATATATATATATATATATATATATATATATATATATATATATATATATATATATATATATATATATATATATATATATATATATATATATATATATATATATATATATATATATATATATATATATATATATATACACATATATATACACATATATATATATACACACACACACACACACACAAAAGAATATATAATTTTTTAGTAAAAAACCGCGATATAAAACCCGCAAAAAACACAAGATTACCGTATAAACATCACACAGTTTGCACAAGAGATAAAATTTTTAGTCCTTTAGTGTTGTACATTTGAGTACAAAGTGAGTACCCGTACAATAATATGTTGCTCAAAATTATGGCTATTTCACAAGAAAAAGTCTGTATAACTAACTCCAGTGGTCAGGATAATATGTACAGTACTGTATTTTTGGTGTTTTTTATATCATAATTTATTGTTTTTATGCATTTAGTACAATCAACTTTTTCGGACAGGTTGTCCCCCTTTTTAATCCGTATCTAAGAGGGATCACTGTAACTCCTTTAGCCAACTTTATTTCAACCAATAGAATGTCAATATCTTTAGAGTACTTCCAGAGAAGAGTATTTCCTGCCATTTGTACTTTCTTTGACCCTTTACTTAATATTTGGCATACGTCTGACAGAAAAAGTAAATAGAATAAAAAATTTGGTTCCAACATTTGGTCATGAAACAAATATCCTTCCTTATTTGGTAGCTTCTCCAGTCTTGCTATTAAGCTTTTGAAATCAGGTATGAATGCCTTGAATACCATTCCACTACATATATGATGTAAAAACTTTGTCCTTAAAAATCCTAGGAACATAAAATGTTTCACGCAAATCCTTAACAGACAATAACAACTCATGGTTATTTCCCCACTTAAACTCCTCCATCACATACTGAATATATTTTTTGGCATCATTAAAAACCTTATAATTTTACAATCTTTTTGGGTGAGCTAAATCCTATGCATGGGATCCCAACACAAATTTACAGTTCTTCAGACATATGTTTATCAATATGCAGACAGGTATGCTGACCATCCATGGCCATTCCACTTAATGTGGTTTCTTATATAAGGCAAAGTAAACCCTACTGTCTTAAAACAATCTAACAAATGACTAGTTATAGACTTCCTTGTTCCTTAACCAATAGCCATATGTGTCAAGTATAATCTTTATTGAGATTGGCATTATTGATATCTCAAATTGGTATTTTGATGCCCATAATGTGTCACTTTCTGTGAGATGCTGTCAACGTATCTGCTGTCAGTCCAAATGGTAAAAAAAAGATTGTCAAATTATATAAAAGCATTTTTAACAACCTCATACATAGGACTTAAGAATAACCTAGGAAACTCAAGAGAGTGATTATTAACACCAGCATTACCACCAGCGACATACAGTAAACCCTCGATGACTCAGCAAGTATGGGGCTCTGGCCTTGCCGAGTTATCCCAAATTCCAACTTATTGAGGCACTTTCCACACACACCCCCCCCCCCTACAAAAATACAACAATAAAAAATTATCGACCCATATACAGGGTATGTGTACAATGAAAGACAAAAGTGAAAACGTATACCAAAGGGCTAAACCTTTGATGCGCTCTGCCTTGTGGTAGGGGGCTCTCATAATGTTTCACAAGTTATATTTAATCTTTGGACAAAACCACGACATGACTTTTATATTTGATTGTACAGTAGCAAAAAAAGTAAATGTGCATATGTTGTGTGAAACAATATGATACCACGGATGATAGGTATTGGGATAGGCATGTTGTCTCCTTATACTGTATGGTAGTAATCACTTAACTGTTTATTTTATTCCTATATGCCAACTCATTCCGTCTTGGTACTGAATGGCAGTGGGTGAAGACACGCATACCAACCCTCCCAAGACGTCACTAGTTGTACGTATAATTTCGGAAGTCATCGGACCCACCCTGGCAGATCCTTTTACTAAATGAAAAAAGTAACACTTATCAGCACTGCGGGTGAAGAATAAAGCATCATAGTAGGTGACACAGATGCATGGTAGGTGATGAAGGTGGCCAGATATGCCGAGATTTTCCCAGATAATTTTATATATCTCGGCATTTCCTGAGTTATACTAATACATTCTGATACCATATCCATGCCGAGTTATCGAGGGTTTACTGTAGTATACAGTATTTCAGTAACGAGTCCTTCCTAAGACTGATGTGAATTATTGTTTTTGTATGTAAAATACGCTGCTGAGGCACAGTTTAAACCACATTCCTATCCTTGTTCATTAATAATTTTCCCTTCAGAAAGTATTTTAGAAGTGAAATCTGTTTTCTCATGACTTAGAATCACAATGCCATTGGAGATATTTTTTTAGATGGGAAAATGAAGATGGAAGCTCTTCATTCATTGTAAATTTAGTGCCATCATTAAAATCGT